TGCAGAGAAACAGAGAGAGAGAGAGAGAGAGAGAGAGAGAGAGAGAGAGAGAGACAGGGGACAGAGACAGAGAGGAAGTTTGGAATGATCAATTATGTACTCACATTCATATTTTTAAATTTTACTCTATTTTCATGTGTTGAATGGATTGAATTGGAGCATTTTATAAGTCTCAAAAGGTTGTTTCCTTATCTCAGGAAAGCTATAAATTATAATAATCACTTCTATTAAAAGTAATTATTAATTCCTTGGAACTATATTTTATAAGATGAGCTCTAGTAGATTGCATGAAAATATTACAATGAAAATCCTTTACACAATTAATATGCACCAAAAAAAAGAGAGATGAAAAAATCATCTCCAGGAAATTCATGAAATGCTAAGTAAATGATTGGCACTTTTTTTAGGCAAGGTTTCATGTTTAAGGAAATATAGTGACTTTCTTTAACAACAGTTATTAGTCAGCAGACAGTGTTAATTTCAGTGACAAAAAAGAAAGTGTATAGCCAAAATCTAAAACACAGACTTATACAAGGAATCTTCTAATAATTATTGATTATTGTAATTTTTTTAGGAAATGCTATACTGCACGAATTAATGACTTCCTGATGAAAAAATTATTAAAAGAAATTTAAGTTATACAGATTTAAAAATAAAATTCCAACAATTCTTCCAGCAACAGTAGCAGAATATAGTGCTATCAATTGATCTTCTGTTTTTTCTGTTTAATACCTTTATTAGGGGGAAATATAGATTTTACAAAGGGAATACTAAACCAAAGACTTCAAGGTAGTTTTCTACCAGCCTTGATCCAAACATATAAACAGTTTTAGACTTATCTAGGGAGAAGATTTACTATTTACTGGCACAAACACAACAGAGTACCATTCAGCCATTTAAAAAGAAGTAAATCCTGTCATTTATGATAACATGGATAGAAATTGAGCAGATTTTGTTAAATGAAATAAGCCAAGGACAGAAAGACAAGTATCTCATGATCTCAGTTTATGTGGAATCTAAAGAGTTGCTCTCCCAGAAGTTGAGCATAGAATGGTGGGTACCAGAGGCTGGGGAGGAGACAGGGAAAGGGAAGTCTGGTCAAAGGGATACAATGTAAACTTCAGTGGGAGTAAAGAATTTATCATGTGCTATTGCACAGTAGATGACTGCAGATGACAATAAAGTAGTGTATGTTTTTAAATGCTAGAAAAAAAGATTTTGCAAGTTTTTGTCATAGACAAATGATAACTATTTTAGGTAGATATGTTTAACCTGATTTAACAATTAAATCAGTACTCAATAAAAATGTAAAAATTTTGTATTGTGTGTATCAGTTAACAATCAATTTAACAAAAGCTGCCATGTAACAATCTCCCCTTTCTGTCATTTCATTATAAAAAACAGAACTACCTGTTTTCCCACCATGGATAATAAGTCAATCCTTTGGAAGCATAAAGGTAAAGGTATTGAACTAGAGAAAAGGTTAGTTTGAGAAGAATTAATTTAGAAGGTAACACACATGTACAGGAAAACAATGCGAGTCAACTCCCTGTATAGCTATCCTTATCTCAACTAGGAAAAACCCTTGGTCCTTCCTATTATTGCTTATACTCTCTCTTCAACAAAATTAGAGATAAGGGAAAATAGTTTCTGCCTGGAAGTGAGGGGGTGGGGTGGTTAAGGGAGGGGGGGAAGGGGGGAGAAATGACCTAAATATTGTATGTACATATGAATAAAAAAAAGATATTGTTCTAAAATTATGTCTGGGAGCAGGTATTTATTTGTGTGGCCTGTGTGTTTATCACCCTGTATCTAAATTCTTGGGAGGTTCCCCATGAAAATCATGTCTGTTTCATGAATGTTGCCATGAAACATTCCCTAGGACACATAAGGCTCCTGTGGCCATTTTCTTTGACCACTCTTTACGGCATGAGAATTATCTTCCTTTTATACCATTGTCTGAAATATTTCTCTCTGAAATATTTCTCTCTCCAGGCTAGGATTTTAATCCACATAATTTAAATGAAATTATATGCAGTGAAGACTTGATGCTGTACATAGTATCATTGTAAATACATGGCTTTGTGCTTCTATTCTATTAATTCAAATATATGTGAGTGAGCATTTTGTTGACCATGTGTCTGTGTTTTATGGTAGAGAAGAGGATTTTTGAACTGACTAAATTAAAAAGCCACAGAAAAATAAAATTTGTGAGTTTTTGAGATTAGTAATATCAGGTAATGATGATATCAACAATTCATACTCATATAGGAATACATAATGAGACTAAAACTTACTTATTTTGAAAATAATTGGAAAAACTTTGATATATATGATACATATAATAACAATGCCAGCACGTTCCATATGAATCTTTTAAGACTATCGTATCATGAAAGATGACAGATAAAATGATATTAGGAATAAAATTCCAAAGTTTGAGATAGACTAGTGACATATTTCCTCTAAAGTATATTTTTGACAGAAAAAGAACCATAATTAAGGTATCATATTGACTAGGTTGTATATCTGAAATCTTATGCTAATTTCTGGTTCAAAATTATCAATATCTGTAGTGTATTGGCAAACCAATTATCCATAAACTCATCTGCTGTATCATTTATCTATGAGATTTTAATAATCACCCACCAAACACTTATTGACATTAATTATCTATATTATCTGGAACAGATAACAAACACTTGCTATATAAATTAATAAAATGTGGAGACAATGGGCAAGTAATTGCTTCATTGGGGGCATACTTACGGTCTAATCAAGAAAACAGAATCCATGCCACCTATTTCAGTATAGTGGGTTTATCATAAACACTTAATTACAATGAAATTAGCAACTCAAACTCAAATTCACAACTTTAGATCTTTAAAGGTTGGTTGTTTCTTCAACCAAGAATCAAATCAGTTAGAGACAATCTGAAAAAAAGGTAGGATAAGACAATAATAATAAAATAGTGATAAACCAGATATTAATGGTGGTAGGAAGAGGCCCAAAACTGGTAGAACATAGGAAAGAAACGGTACTCTCAGAGACCAGAAATTAAATATAAAGACAGGATCTGGAGTCACAAAAGCACAGCTGGAACCCTTACATCTCAGTCAAAGCTGAGAAAATATATAGAATTTTTTGTTTGTTTTGCTGTCCTTACTATTTGATTTAATTTATTTTCTGTTACTCTACTTGAACACCCAAGACTGAATGATTCACGAAGGACAGATGCTTATTTAGCTCACCAATCTTTAGGTTAGAGTCTCTTAGAGCATGGTGCCTGCATCTCTTCAGAAACTTTTGAACATGTTACATTCTAACATGGTGCAAGGCATCTCATGACAAGACAAAGCAAGAATGTCATAGAGACCTTGTTTTAGAAACAAAGCCATTGCTGAGACAGTCCATTAAGTCATTAATGCATTCATTGTCTCATTCTTTCACATTTACTTGATATTTACCTGTATTTATGTGCAATTCCCTACAGAGACTCCCACAAACATAGTTTTGTCAACTTCCAAAATACACACTCCCCAGCAGTATGTATTGAACAAATGAATAAATATAACAAAACAGTTTTAAATTGTTTTGATAAACCAGTATTTTATATGATATTCAGTACTCCAAATTTTAATTGTCATAGAAGTAAATTTCATAATAAATTGAAAAGGATGAAAAGCTTAAAAAGACTATTGTCATGATATTGTAAAGGCAGTTAAGATAAAGTATAGTTAATACATTTTATCATTTATTTTTCTAACATATACAGTGTCAGTATAAAGCAAAATATAGATATTATGGGCATTCTCTAACTCTTTTTGTGCTGAAATAAAATCAAAGTGTTTTCTCCCACATCTGCTTGGTTTCAACAATGTAGGCAATATAGTAGACCACAAAATGAATAAGGAAAGTATGGTCATACAGATGTGTGAAGGAAACTAGACAAACAGACCATCACGATCATGGTTACCAAAAGGAGAGAAGAAAAGATGTGAATGAAGGAGCTGAGGACTTAAAGATGACCATCATGAAATACGATGATCAGTACAGACATATGATCACTGCAAGAAACAGAGGTTGAGGGGAAAATCAAATACCATGTTGGAGAGCACCAGAAACATTTCAGTGTTTTACTAAGTGTTGTGTTGAAGGACAAGAACTGGATGATATAAACCTTACATGGAGTAAGAATAGGAGAGTCCACTGGATTGACAGAGGCACAACCTCTTCAAAAGTTTTCTAAGTAGCATGTCTAGAACTAAAGTCTGTGCAAAAATGGTTAAAATCCTCTTGGAAGTTAAAATGTTGGTGAGGATGAGTAGAAGATGAGTACAGAGATTAATAAACATGACATAGTCATCAATGACCACTGCCAAAATAACAGCTTACTAAAATTACCTCCTTTAGTGGGTGTCCATGTTTTGCTTGCACACCTTCTAATACATTCACTGATTTCCAAGTGTATCAGAGAAAGTCTGACTGCATACATTATGCAGTATCCACTTTGTATTAGTATAATTTTTAATCATCTAATTTAGATGAACTATTTGAGGGAAATAAACAGTCCTGACTATTTATTGATTTCTTCTGAGAGGAATGGGGAGGCAGTGGAGATAAATTAATGAGTAAAAAGATAGTCATAGTGGGTGACAATAGTCAATAATATTCTATTGTATATTTCAAAATGACAGAAGAGAGTATTTTTGATGTTCTTACCAGAAACAAATGATAAATGCTTAAAAATGGATACACTGAGTGTCCTGATTTGATCACTTCACAATGTTTACATATATCAAATGTAATGTTGAATCCATAAATGTGTACAATTATGATGCATCAATTAAAAATATTTTTTAAAACTTTAAAATATTTTCATAGTGGTAGAAAGAAAAATGTGTATGCAGAATCTGAAGACATTTTTTTCCTCAAATTAAAAGTAAATTTCACAGGGATTATTGCCCAAATCTCTAAGTGACCTAAATACCCTTCTGCTGTCATTTCATTAGATTTCCCAAAATACGGGCACGTATTTCCCTGGTTTTAATGCAGTATATAATAGGGTTGAAGACAGGGGGGACCAATAGGTATACATAGCCCATGACAATGTGCACCGCGGGTGGAACATGTTCCAAAGCTATGGATAATAGACACCCCTAGCATAGGGACATAGACAAGCAGCACTGCACAGATGTGGGAGACACAAGTATTGAGTGCCTTGAGTTGTTCTACCCTGGAGGCGATGCCTAAAACAGTGATCAGGATCTTCAAATAAGACAGCAAGATGAGCACAGAGTCCATTCCAAGGGTGATGAGAACAATGATGAGGCCATAAATGCTATTAATGCGGTGATCAGAGCAGGAGAGCTTGATGATGTCTGGGTGTAGGCAGTAGGAGTGGGAGAGCACGTTGGCTTCACAAAACCTTAGTTGCTTAATGAGAAATGGTCCTGGGAAGATAACAGCCACAGCCCTTAGCCAAAGCCCAACACATATCTTGGCAATGGTTGAATTGGTCAAAATAGCACTGTATCTGAGTGGGTTGGAGATGGCCACATAACGGTCAAATGCCATGGATAGCAGAGTGCCTGATTCCATTAGAGAGAAAACATGGATGAAGAACATCTGAGTAAGGCAGGCATCAAAATTTATTTCATGAGCATTGAACCAAAAAAGCTTGAACAAGGTGGGCAGGGTGACAGCACAGAGTCCCAGGTCACTAGCAGCCAGCATGGAGAGGAAAAGGTACATGGGTGTATGAAGTGATGGTTCCACCCAAATAACCACTATGATGGTGCTGTTACCCATAAGAGCAATGATATAGAGGGCACAGAACAAAATAGAAATTACTGGATTTGAGTCCTCTAGTCCAGAGAAGCTGGTCAGAAGGAAGGGCTGGTAGACACTGATGTTAAAAAAGACCATGATGTGTAATATATCATTCTGGGGTCCATATCCTTTTATACCTAGAATAAGAGAGTCTAGTTTAGGAAACCATCACCACTATCCTTTTATGAAGTCTAAATTGTGCTCTTAGGAGTGTTACTAAGTAAGTCTCCACCACATTTTAGAGTCCTAGTCAATGTGAAACTTGGAGGCCCTAGTAAACTTTATACAAGAATCATAATATGGAACCCATATCTGTAATTTAATTTCCTCAAAGAAGACTGTTTTTATTGAGACATGACATACAAATAATGCTTCTGAACTTGACTTCACATTTTTTCAATATAAAATGTGATGGTGTTTGCTATCACAGGATATGCAAAATTAGTTTGGGTAATTTTAATCTACAGAAATGGGTAAAAAGTAGAAAATACCTTCTCTTATTCTAATCCATGTTACCGCTCTCAAATTAAGGAAATGTAGAGAAAGAAGCATAGGAAAATATGAAAGTCATCTGTACAAGATCTCTATCTTCACTGAGCAAAGAATCACCTTGTATTTTCTCTAGCAATATAATCCCAGGCTCATATAAGATACAGCACTGGCTCCACTTTGCCCATGTATTTTTTTTATTCAATGTATTTAAAATTTTTATATTAGCATGTAATAGCTGTATAAGGGTATACATTGTGATATTACATATGTGCTTACAAAATATCTTAGATTCACCTCCTCCATCATTCTCCCTCATTCCCTCCCTCTTTCTTAGAATAAGTTCAACAGTGTTCATTCTTCTGTTTTCATATATGAACACATAATACATCCACCATATTCATTCTCATTCACCCTTTCCTTATGCCTACCCCCATCACTGGTGCCATCTTTGGAAAAGACCTGTTTACACCTCCTGACCTTCATCTATTTTTTAAAGTGTATTTTGATAGCTTAAGGGCGTTTTGCCTTGGTATGTCAGTACTGTATATGTCATGCTTTAATTAAATTAACCCCCCATTACTTTTTCTCTATCACCATGCTCCCCTAATATTCCACAGCTTCTGGCATAGTATATTACATTATAATCCCATATAGAGGGATTGTTTCAAAATTGTTCATTCTCTAACATTTTCTTTCTTTCTTTCAGCTCCCATAGTCCCCTCAGACAGACCCACTAATACAATCTTGTTCTCTCTTTCGCTATATTTATGCATGTCTCTATATAGTCATATATGCATTTATATATACATGTAACATATAGGTCTAGCTTCCACATATGCAGGAAAAGATATGATCTTTGATTTTTTGAGCTTAGCTCACTTTGCTTAACATGATGTTCTCCAGTTCCATCCATTTACCTGCAAACATAATTTCATTCTTTTTTATTGCTGAAAAAAACTGCATTGTGAATATATACCACATTTCCTTAATCCATTCATCAGTTGTAGGGCATCTAGATTGTTTCCAAAGCTTGGTCAATGTGAATAGTGCTGCAATAAACATGGGTGTGCATCTCCATATTGCTTTCCATAGCAGTTGCTTTAATTTATATTCTTTAAAGTACAGACCATATAACAAATGTATCAGGCAGTACATGTTCCATTCCCCTCTATGATATTATATGATACTAGTTTAATTATTTCTGGTTTGAATTAAATACTGCAAATATGTAACATTAAGTAAGTGATCTTTAAAGTCTTGATATACTGATCTATTTGTTTAGACTTATAAATTTATTTTATATTTATATATTATGCACATATATTTTCAAAATGCTTATATGCCTACAAAACTGCCTACTATTCTGGAAACTGTCCTTTGTTGTCAAACTATAAATAGACCAAATTACTGATTTATACTACTGAATAACATGTAGTGTCAATTACCTGGTAAAGTTCTCTTAGAGGCAATATTCAAGCTCAGATTCTAAGGGTAAGTATAAAGGCTTACATCAACATGTACAGTGGGAAAGGAATGTGCCAAGAAGGGGCCTTCTCGTGTAAAAGACATGCTGCAAAGGAATTTGTAGAGTGTTAGGATCTACAATAATTTGCAGAATGGATTTCATAGGTGGTGAAAGGGTTGGTTGGAGATAACATGAAATAAGGCTCTGGTTATAAACAATTTGAAGTTGTTACATGATTCAAAATAATGAAACAAAGGCATTAGTACTAATTCTTAGTGTATTTGTGTGTGTTTAGTATAGTCAATAGTATGGTCACACTCATATTTTTATAAGATAATTGTATTGCATTATGGTGAGTTGATTGCATTTTATTATTCACAATGTCATTCCCCTGTGTCAAAAATGCTATGATTCATAATTATAAGTTATTTCTACAGAAATGGGTACAATGTCTGTGGAAATACAACTTGTAATAAAACTATCTTCACAAAATTTATGAAATCCATATGCAAAAAACAAAACATTGTGATTTACCCTTCTTTTTCAGGAAAGGTATTGGGCTTAAAGAACTAAAGTGACTTTCCTCAGCAAGACAGCAAGACAGTATTTGGTGCAGCAGAGAAAAGGAAGTGAGAAGCTTGCCAATTTTAACAGAGGAGGCATTTCCTTAATTCCATTATTACGTGATATGAAGAGCATGGGTTCTTCTTAGGCTTAATAGCTCAATAACCAAGGATGATATATTTGAACTCTTCATGATTGGATTTATACCCATAAATTATAGACAATAAAATCAATAATATCCACAACCTTAGAGTGTTATAAGGATTAGGATATTCATACAAAAATTTAACAATACAGTCTTATACAAAGAATCTTCTAAGCAATATTGAGTATTAATGTTTCTCAAGAAATTGCCACATATTTTTTGTTATATTTAAACCCAATTTGTTAGATTGCCCAAACCAATGATTGGTGAATGCAAAAATAATTTAAAGGAATTCGAGCTACACAAACTTCATTAATAAAATCTCAATCATTCTTCCAATAATAGTACAGCATTTATAGCTATTTGTTGGTTATATATTTTTGCCATTTGTCACCTTAATTGGCCATTTTAATGGAAAGAAATATAGATCTTAAAAAGAGGAGAGTGAACCAGAGTTAAAGACAAAGTAATTTTCTAGTGCCCTTGATCTAATCATATAAACATATTTAGAGTGGAAAAATATTTGGGATAGGAATTTCCATTTAATGGTATATATAAAACATATATGTTTGGCCATTGAAAGTAAGAATGGAATCCTCTCATTTGTGACAACATGGACAGACTGGATTTTATTAAGTTAAATAAATAAGCCAGGTACAGTAAGACAAGTATTACACCATCTCAGTAATATATGGAATCTGAAATTTTGTGGAAGATTTTATGGAAGTTGGTCAAATGAACAGTTTAAAGCTAGATGGAAATAAGGAATTTCTGGTGTGGTATTGCCCAGTAGGATTATAGATAACAACAGTGTACTGTATATTTTTGAAAGTAAGGAGACAGGATTTTGAAAATTTTGCTTTCAGAGATAAATGATCAAATTTTGAGAAGGTAGATAAGTTCCACCTGATTTGAACATCAGGCAGTGCATACAAATATGAACATTATATGGTACCCAATATTAATTGTGCATACAAATATGAACATTTGTATGAATGTATGAACATTATATGAACATTATATGGTACCCAACATATAAAATAAATTTATATGTTTTATGGATCTGTTAAAATTCAATTTCACTGAAAAATTACAATTTAAAGCCTCCCCTTTTCTGGCATTTTAGTTAGGAATAAGAGAATTACCTGGTTTCCAATCATAGATGAGGTCAAATGTTTGGAAGCATAAGCATAAAGGGTATGTTTGTAAAAGTATGTCTGGGGGCAAGCATTTATTTGTTGACCTGTATCCGAACTCTCTTGTGGTTTCCCCATGAGAATGCTGTATGCTCAATCACTGTTACCACAAGTGATTCTTCCCTTCAAAAAGTCCTGTGGCTATTTTTTTCCCTGATACCATAAAAGGTGTAAGAATAATTCTACTTTTGTATTATTATCTGCAGAATTTATCTCTCCAGACTAGGATTTTAATCTACACTGTTTATATGAAATTTCATGCAATAAAGCCATGATGCTGTGGGTAGCATTGTATTACATCACGATCTTGTTCTTCTTTTGCTCCTATATTTTTCTAGATATGTGAGCAAGCATTTTGGGGGGCTTTAAAACTTCTTAGCATGCTTCCTTCATTGTGTCTGTGTTTTACAGCAGAGAGGAAGGTTGTTTAACTGACCCAATTAAAAATTCACAGAAAAATAAAAGTTGAAAAATTTTGAGATATGCATAGTAATGTCAGGAAAAGATGATGTTAATAACTCATATGAATACAGGAATACTTAATGAAACTAAAACTTCATTATTCAGGAAGTAATTAGAAAAACTTTGAATACAATTGGTTTTCATAATAATAATGGCAGCATTCTCCATGGGAGTCTTTTAAAGTTACCATATCATTAAAGATGGCAGTGAGGTAATAATAGGAATAAAATTGCAAATTTATTGAGATAGGCTAATGAGATATTCTTTCTAAAGTATAATTTTGACAAAAAAGAAGCACAATTAAAATATCATATTGACTAGGTTGTATATCTGAAGTCTTATGCTAACTACAAGTTCAAAATTGCTAACAACCTATGATGTATTGGCAAACCAATTATCCATTAACTCAGCTGATGTATCAGTTATCTCTTATATTTTAATAAACTTCTTCCATTATATTTAGTTCATGCTCTCAGTCTGTATTTCCATGAGTACTGGTGTATATATTTATATGTTTTTCCTGACATATTTCCCCCACCAATGTTATTTTCTATCATCCACCAACCATACATTCACATTAGTTATTATATTATATGGAACAGATAAAACACTCAGAAAATATTTTCTTGCTATATAAACTAATCAAATGTGGTGACAGGAGACATGGAATTCCTTTACTAGGGGACGGGTCTAGTCAAGAAAACAAAATCCATTTCATTTATTTCAACACAGGGAATTTAACATAAATACTTCATGGAATTAGCAAGTCAAATTCCAATTCACGGCTTGAGAATCCTAAGAGTTGGGTAGTACTAGAACTAAGAATCAAATCCGTTAGAGACCATTTGAAAACAAGGTAGGATGAGAAAAAAATAATGAAATTGTGACAAACCACATATTAATGATGGCAGGAAGAGACCTAATACTGGTAGAACAAAAGAAAGAAATGGTATTCTCTGAGACCAGAAGTTAAAAGTAAAGATGGGATCTGGAGTCGCAAAAGCACAGCTTGAGCCCTGACATCTCAGTCAAAGCTGTCAGAGAAAGCAGATGGAATTTTTTGTTTGTTTTCCTGTCCTCACTGTTCTTTTCTGTTACTATGCTTGAGTACTACAGATTGAATGATTCATTGAGGGTAGAATTTTATTTAGCACACCAATCTGTAGGTTAGAACCTCAAAGAGTATGGTGCCTGCAACTCTTCAGAATCTGTTGAAGCTTTCCTTGCTGGGTAATAGCATGGTGGAGAGCATCTCATGGCAAGACAAAGCAAGAAGTCATGGAGACCTTACTTTAGAAACAAAGCCACTGCTGAGACAGTCCATTAATTCACTGATGCATTCATTGTCTCATTCTTTTACATTTAACTCATATTTACCTGCATTTAAATTGGGCCAGGAGTAAGGAAGCTATTCAACATGTGCAATTCCCCTACAGAGACCTGCACAAAAGAAGTTTTGTTAACTTCCAAAATACACAGCTTTCATCCATTCACTTCAACAGAATACGCAAACCACTGGACCAGAGACAGTGATCATTATTTTAATTTGGTATTTGTTTTAATCTGGTAAATCCATTTCACTGCCCATCTTCACCCAAATAACAAAATTTGTTTAAACCCATTTTCCAGAACACTGCAGATTAGTTTGTAATAAAACAGAGTGAATATAGGTACCTGGTATTCCAGGAATTCACTGTTTCATGAAGTATTCCACCTAGTTTGGAGGATCATCATCGAAAAACTGATCTATTTTGCAATTGTGGGCATGGCAGTGTTTGCCTGTAGTAGAAGCTATTCAAGAAGCTGAGGTCAGAGAAGCACTTGAGCTTAGAAGTTGTAAACCACCTGTACAATATAGTGTGATACCTTCTCCTCCCCACCCAAAATATTCAGTGATACTGAACAACAAAAACCAATAATTATTTAACCTGAATGTTTTTAATATTGATGTAACTGTTTTCAATACTCTCTGTATGACAGGATGACAATAAATCACTTTGATACAGGCAATGCTTGGGTCATGGAAAGTCTATGTGTGTGATGTTCTGTTTAATAGTAGGAGTTACAATTATGGTGGTATCTGTAATAAAGGTGACAGAGTTAAGTATGTTTAAATAGGGAAAACAGCCTTGAAAAGAGTGTAAGTAACCTTCCATATCTATATTATAAGCACAGCAGTAAGATGTGTATCATTGTGGGTAAAGAGTGTTGACTATGAACCTTAAGAAAGCTATGTAAATGCACAGGGAATAGAGAATAAATGTTACAGTGATTGATTAGATGTGAACCTGTTTTGTTTTCTCTTTTATTGTTGTGGTGGGGGTACATTGTGGTATTGACAAAAGTTCTTACAATATATCAAATATATCATACTTTAATTCACTCCTTCATCAGTCTCCTTTATCCCCCCAAATGTGAACTTGTTGAGAAGGAAATTTCCTAAAGCAGTGTCCTGCAAAGTTCTTCACTATGAAATAAATAAGTAGTCAGGATGGACATCAGTACAAACACTGTGAACATGGCAATGATATTAACCATGGTACTTAGGGAACACAAAATGAAAAATGCTGCAAGACAATATACTAATGTACATGTAGTCTGAAGACAAATGGATTTCCTTGAATGAAATAAAAAATACAGTAACAGATCACTCCACTAGTTTAGATGTAAACTTAGGGGTAAACTTAGAAGAACAAATCCTTTTTAAAAATGTCTTTTGCACAGTTTGCTTAAAAATATCAATTTGCTTAAAAATTTAAAATATCATTGAGAAGCATGTCATTATTTCTTCACATGCACATATTTGTAAGACAATCACAGAGAGTGGTCATCAAAGTTTAAATCATAAACTTATATTGCATTGAGTGATGTTATAGTACCTCCTTTAGTGGGTGCCTGTGTTTTGCCATAAAAGGCTTGCAATAAGTTGAGTGATTTCCATGCATATCAGAGACAGTCTGCATACATGCTTTATGCAGTATCCACTTTGCATTAGTACAATTATTAATCATCTAATTTAGATGATATATTTAAGGGAAATAAATAGTCCTGAATATTGCTGGTTTCTTTTGAGAAGAATGGGAACAGGGGAAAGAAATTGAGAGTAAAATGGTAGGAAGAATAAGATCTGCTCTTGTATTGCGTGGTGGGTGGTGATAGCAATATTATATTGCATATTTCAAAATGGTTAGAAGAGAACATTTTTAATGTTCTTACCAGAAACCAATGATAAATGCTTGAAAACTGACATGCTAAGTGCATTGATTTGATCACTCTACATGCTTACCTATATCAAAGTTAGCATTGTGCTTCATAAATAAGTATAATTATGATGGGTCAACTAAAAATATATTTTAAAAAACTTTAAAACACTTTCAGAAAAATGTGTGCATGAGTATTGTGAACAAAAAATAAAAACTTATCAAAGAAAAGGGAGATTTTTTTCCCCAAGTTAAAACTTAATTTTACAGGTTTTATCCTAGAAATCTCTAGGTGACTCTAAATTTCTCTCTCCTTTCATTTCATTAGATTTCCCAAAATACGGGCACATATTTCCTGGGTTTTAATGCAGTATACAACAGGGTTAAGGACAGGGGGAACCAATAGGTATACATAGCCCATAACAGTGTGTACCACAGGTGGAAGATGTTTCCCAAAGTGATGGATAATAGACACCCCTAGCATAGGGACATAGACCAGCAGCACAGCACAGATGTGGGAGACACAAGTATTGAGTGCCTTGCTTTGTTCTACCCTGGAGGTGATGCCTAATACAGTGATCAGGATCTTCAAATAAGACAGCAAATGAGTACAGAGTCCATTCCAAAGGTGATGAGAGTGATGAAAAAGCCATAAATGCTATTAATGCGGTGGTCAGAGCAGGAGAGCTTGATGATGTCTGGGTGTAGGCAGTAGGAATGGGGGAGCACGTTGGCTTCACAAAACCTTAGTCGCTTAATGAGTAATGGTCCTGGGGATGACAATCACAGCTCTAAGTAAAAGCCCCACAACTATCTTTGCAATGGTGGAATTAGTCAAAATAGTAGTATACCTGAGTGGGTTGGAGATAGCCACATAACGGTCAAATGCCATGGTGAGCAAGATGCCTGATTCCATTAGGGAGAAAACATATATGAAGAACATTTGAGTGAGGCAGGTACCAAAACCTATTTCACGAACATTGAACCAAAAAAGCTGAAGCAGGGTGGGCAGGGTGACAGCACAGAGTCCCAGGTCACTAGCAGCCAGCATGGAGAGAAAAAGGTACATGGGTGTATGAAGTGATGGTTCCACTCGAATAACCATTATGATGGTGTTGTTTCCCATAAGGGCAATTATGTAGAGGGTGCAGAACAAAATGGAAATCACTGGATGTGAGTCCTCTAGTCCAGGGAAGCCGGTCAGAAGGAATGACCCAGAACTACTGATGTTGAATAAGTTCATGATTCTAATTTGTAGTCCTTGGATCAATAGTCTTTTCTACCTAGAGTAAGAGAGTCTTGTTTAGGTCATCATCTCCACTAAGTTTTATAAGTGTACTTTATGCTTTTATGAGTGGTACTAAGTAAGCATCCACTGTATTTTAGAGTTATCATCAAAGAGAAACTAGGAGGCCCTAATGAACTTTATACTTCAATTATATTATAGAGGCCATATCTATTATTTAATTTCCCCATCAGAGATTGTTTTAATTGAGACATGTAGTATACATAATGTCTCTGAACTTGACTTCACATATTTCAATACAGAATGTGGTTATGATTGGTATCACAGGGTGGTGTAAAAATAATTTGGGTGATTAAAGTCTATGAAAATGTGTAGGAAGTAGAAAACCCTGTCTCTTATTTTAAGTATGTTATCTCTTTCAAACTAAGGAAATCAAGAACAGAAGCATAGGAAACATGAATGTTACCTATATAGAGTTCTGATTCTTCTGAGGGAATAGCCTCATATCCCTTATTCAATTAATACTTTTCTCTACCAATGGAATCTGAGAGTCATAGAGGATAAAGTACTGACTCTGATTTTTCTATATATTTTTCTTCATACACTTTTCCTAAATGTGTCTAACATATAAGAAACATTTCAAGAACTACATACTCTATTCTTGACATTGACACTCTGTATGGTGCTGGCTGACATACTTCTGCTCTCTGAGTTAAGCTTCTTTTTAAAATATTTTTTAAAAATACAGAATTAATTGAGTGATCTTTTAAAGTCTATTACCACGCATTCTAATTGGTTAAATATTATATATACCCATATACCAAGGAGAGCTCACTGGGAGGTGATATTTAAGCTGAGATCCTGAGAATGGGTAAAATGCGACCATAGCATTGTGCAGTAAGAAAGGTGTATATGAGAAAGGGAGCAAAGCCTATGTAAAGGCTGTGAGCAAAAAAGTTTGGAAAGTGTTAGGAGCTATAATATTTTACAGAACAGATTTCATACATTGGCAAAAGGTTGGACCCATAATGTGAAATAATGCTGGGGTGGTTAACAACTTTAAGAAATTTTATTTAATTCTAAAATAATGAAATAAAGTTTAGAATACTAATTTTGAGAGTTTTTGTGTTTGTGTGTGTCTGTGCATGTGTATGTGTATGTGTTTGAGGTGACCAGTGGAATGGTCACATTCATGTTTTTATCATTTATTGTAGTTGCATTGTGGTGAGTTGATTGCATGTGAGACTTATTATTTAAATAATTTTCAGGAATGCTCTATATTATAATTATTAAATCTACAGAAATGGATAATGCTGTGTCCTTGAAAGTGTAACATTTAATGAGCATCTCTATGAAGTTGATGAAACCGTTAGAAAGGGTGGTGAATATGGTTGAGGTACTTTATATCTACATATGAAAATAGAAATATGAAGCCTATCGATTGTCTTTAATTCTGTGGAGAAAAGAAATTGTGGGGCATATCAGTTTTGGCACACTTGATGCTGATTACCTCAATCAATTCTATCATTAGATGAATGAAGATTATAGCTTCTTCAATAGCTCTAGAACACTTGCAATTTACTTAACCTCTTCATGCCTGCAGTTATATGCCTATAAATAATAGATAACAAATGTAGTAATTTCTCCATATAAGAGTTCCACTGTTGGATTAGATAATTTACATCAAGAATGTAAAACTCAGCATTTTGTACACAATCGTCCAGGTGATATTAGTTGCCAATAATATTTCTCGAAAAAGTACTATATGTTTCTTTACTGTATTTAAGCACCAGATTAACTAGATCCTTGATTTCTGGTTGTATAAATACTTAAGAGAAAGTTGAGGGCATAAATTTCTAAATAATATCTCAAATATTCTTACAAAAATATCCCTGTATTCAAACTACTTCTGCTATTTACCATCTTCATTGTCCGTTTTAGAAGTATGGCTAATCAAAGAGAAATGTACATCTTTAGAAAGGGAATAATGAACAAAGACTCAAAAACAAGGAAGTTTTCTACAGGCCTTGGTCTAATTATATAAATAGATTTGGGCTAGAAACAAAATCCAGAGCTAAGTATTACTATTTAGTTGTATGTACCCAATGCGATATCATTCATCCACAAGAAGCAATGAAATCCTGCCATTTGCAACAATATGTTCAGTACAAGAAATCATTAAGTGAAATAAGCCAGGTGCAGAAAGACAAATATTACATGAACTTCATAATAATGTGGAATCTAAAACTTTAATCTCATAGAAGCTGAGAGTAGAATGATGGTTATCAGACATGGGGAGAGGGAAGGAAGGATCAGGAGAGGTTGATCAAAATTCACTAATGTATTGTTAGGTAGGAGTAAGAATCTCTGTTGTGCTATCATGTAGGGGACAATATATATAACAGTGATGTACTATATTATTTTCAAAGCTAAAAGAAAGGATTTCAAATGTTTTCACCATAGGTAAGTGACAAGAAGATGAGATTGATAGGTTTAACCTGAATTAAACATGATACAATGAATACATGAATAAGATTATCACATTATAATCCATGAATATGAACAATTTTCATGTTTTATATATAACTTTAAATAATTCACTTCTAAAATACCATTTAAAACTTACCTCTTCTTGGCATTTCAGTTAGGAACAAAAGAGATAACTGGTTTCCCATCATGGAAAATAGTCAAAACTTCAGGTCCATAAGCATGAAGAGAAAGTTTCTAAGACTGTGTCTGCGAGCAGGCATTTATTTTAATGTGTTTGAGTGTGTGTGTGTGTGTGTGTGTGTGTGTGTGTGTTTGTGTGTGTGTGTTTGCACACAACTGCATCTGAATTCTTTTGAGGTTCTACATGAAAATCATATTTGCTACAACACATTAACATGAGGTGTTCCCCAGAGTGCCTGAAACTATTGTGGATATTTTTATTACCTCTCTATAAGACATAAGTAATATATTATTTTTGTACTATTATCAACAGTATTGGTCCTTACAGACTAAGATTTTAGTCCACATCACTTGTAAAGAAGCTTTATGGAATTAATTTCCAATGCTACAGATATTATCTTGTATTTATTATCTACGGATATAAGATCAAGCATTTTGTTTGATTTTTTAAGTTTTTAGCTTGTTTCTTTAGCTCTATCTGTGCTTTATTGTAGAGAGGAGGGTTGTTTAATTGACACATTAAAAATATCCTGGAAAAATGAAATTTGTAAACTTTGAGATACGAGTACTACTATCAGGTAAGATTGATGTTACCCATTATATTTCTACTAATTTAGGGAGATTGAATGACTATAAAACTTTAATTATAAGGTGACTGAAAATTTTCAAAATTAACTGATAGTTAATATAAAGACATCAGTCTTAATGTGAATCTTGAAAAGATACCATATATTGAAAAATGTCATGTATGACAATGTTAGGAATAAAATACCATAGTTTGAAATAGGCAACCTACTCTATGTACTTGCTTACACAGAGTGGTCTGTGTCAAACTTTTCTAATACAGAGTCCAGAAACTCTCAGATACCTCTCTTCTTTTTATCTTGGATAGCTCTTAGCAATGAGTGTTGGGTTCTCATTGCCTTTGTTTGTTTCATTATTAGGGACTGAACTCATGGCCTCACACTTGCTAAGCAAGTGCTCTAGCACTTGAGTCATACCCACCCCCCTCAGTCCTTTGTGCTTTTAATTTGTATTTCAGATAGGATCTGGTGCTAATTTTTGCCTGTGCTGATCTTGATCCACAATTCTTCTTGAATAGCTGAGATTAAAGGCTTACATAACCACAACCAGCTCGCTCATTCACTATTTTGTTCCATAGTTAGATAGTCTAAAAATATATATTCATTCTTAATCCATCTGGAGAAACTGATTGATCAATGTTACTATGTTAGAATTAGGTGGAAGTCAGAATCCTTGGTTTGCTGTTGTATAGAATGGCGACTATAGATAATAATAATGTACTGTATAATTTGAAAAGCTCAAAGAAAGGATTTTGAATATTTTCACCATGAAGAAATGATAAATGTTTGGGATGACAGATGTGGATTTTTAATTATTGCTGTACTGGGGGAACATTGTGACAGTTACAAAAGTTCATACAATCATAGTTGAATTCATCCTTTCATCATTCTCCTTTACCCTCCTCCCCCCATTCCTGGAACAATTTCAACAGGTCTCATTTTTCCATTTACATACATGAGCACAGAGTATTTCCACCATATTCACTCTCCTACACTCTCCTACACTCTTTCCTTTTATCCTTTCCCTTCCCACCGACACCAGCTCTCAAGATAGGACCTGTTGATAGATGGGAGTTACTTATTTTTTGGTGGCAGTGGGATTTGAACTCAGGACCTCATGCTTGCTGTGCAGGCTCTGTGCCATTTGAGCCACTCTGCTAGCTCAATAGATGTGTTTTTAGCCTGATTTAAACATCACACTATGTATACATGTATGAAAACAGCATATGGTTCTTTCTTAATACATAGAATATTTGTTTTTATGTATCATTTAAAATAAATTTAATTTAACTTATAAAAAATAAAAACTGTTTTGAAGAAGTGTGCCTAAAGAAAGTTTCAATATTTCTGTCATAGATTTGTTTTTATTCTTATAGAAGTTGGGGGATATAATTGTATTTTCCCTATTCTCTGACTTCAGTTAGAGAACTAATGCTGTGTCTATCTCAAAGATATCCTGAGCTTTGCAGTCGTCATCTGATTCTTCCCTGTCTGCTTCCCATTTTTTGCTTCAATGATGACTAATGAGCCAAAGCACACAGTCTATGTCATGAAAGTCCACTTTTCTCATAGGTGATTTTCAGCCATAAAAAGTAAAACTTCACCATTTTTATCAAATTATTCCCGCTTTCCCGTGTTTTGGCTATAGCAAATTAATCTCTGAGAATCTTTCTACTCTATTCAGAGTACATTTGGATAAGTTGGAGGTCCTGGAAGCAGCAAAGGAGAATTCTATGGAGAGGATTTTACCATTCAGTGTAGAATTTCATCCTAACAGTTATCAACATTGCCACTGTTACTACATCTGCATTTGAGATATTTGAGTGCAACTTAACCTTGTTTAAAATATCCATTCAACCAGTGTTATGAAGGAACAGTTTCTCGACTCTCTACTATTATCTGAGTCCACTTGAAACCAAATGCTTTCTCCTTATCTCTTAATCTTGAATTCCTTGGGTTTTATAGTTTAGATTACTGCTCACCTTTCCTATCTTCAAAATCTTGGATAATAAGATTCATATCATTGTTTTAGTTATCATCTATATGCTGGTCACTGCAAGTGTATGCTTGATGCTTTGATGTCTTTCCTGAGTTTTATCAGCATATATTAGGAAAGTTGCCCAGAATCATTTATTTGCTTTCACAAATCTTACATTAAATATGTATAGAATCAAATTCATCATCACATACATCATTACTACAGTGTAATTTAAATATACCACCATCTGCCTACTGGTTAAAAATAACAAAAACATATTTGATTTCATAGAAGCTGATCTCATAGAAGTTGAGAGCAGACTGTTGGTTGCCAGAGACTAAGGAGATTGAAGGGCAGGGGAAAGGGTAAGAGGTTGGTCAATGGGCATAATGAAGTGGAGAAATAAACTCAGGTTTTCCATTGTACAGTAAGGCGAACCTAAGTAACAGCAATGAATTATATAATTTAAATTATCAAGGGGAGAAAATTGGAAATGTTCTTTCCCCCCAAATTATAATTGTTTACTCTGATTTTAATATTATACAATGTATTCATAGGTTGAAACAGCAAAGTATACTCCATAAATGTGTATAATTAATGTGTATCGAAAATTAAAAATTATAGTTGAGATCAATTGTAGGAATTTGTGTATTCAATACTTAAATGAATAATTTCTGCAATGACTTAGTACTGTTAGTGCTATTAATGACTATTACATGAAAGAGAAAAATTGATTTCTTTAATTAAAAGACAAAAATATAACTTGCACTAAGTATGTGTTTCTAGAATGTTACTTAAGAATACTTTATGTATTGGACTTTTAATTAAGTTTTTCCTGCATCATTCTCAATTCCACTTACAACATATACTTACTATAATGTGCCCACTGATATTTCAGGGATTGAACGAAGAGTAAGCAACTGTATAGTCCTTATTTTGCTAATTCTTTCTTTTACTTGTACTAGACTTTCATCATGGTGATTCTGTTTTCCTGTGTTGGATATTATCTGTCAGTCTGCTACTTGCATTTCACCTTATATCCCCACTGGAGCTTCCCTCATAATCTGATATAAATAGGAAGACAAAACATGAAAGTTTACAAAGTATATACAAAGAAAGTTACTTCACAGTATGAAGTCTACTGTAATAACAATTCTACATTTTATTTTCAAGCCATTTTTTGAGCAGCTGATTATTTTCACTACTGATGTAATATTTTAAGCATAAGCTGACAGATAAAAGAATTTTGCTTGAGATTGTTTCCATTCTTATAATTTCAAAAAAAAATATTAATTCTGGCCAAAGAAGCTAGTAGTTTAAGAATTGGATAACCATATTATCTTTGAAATTCCCATTGAACAAGAGAAGAAAGCATCAAAATCCTGGAATGCTCCTAAAGTGAAATTAAGAAGTTATAAGCATATCTCTCATATATATGGAATTGTATTCAGTGTCTCATAAACAGTTTAGTCTTGCCAGAAGTTTTCCTCAAATGAGTATCGACTCATCCACTCATTCATTCAGAAAATGTTAACCAAATATCAAACATATGGAAATAATTATACTCATGAGAAGGAATGCAATGATGAAGAAGAGAGAAACAATAACTGTCCTTATGAACCTTATATTTGAGTAGGTATTTTCAAAATTCTTCTAATATAACTGAGCTCCAAACCTATCCATTATCTTATTTTTCTAAAACATAGATTGTATCTTATTTTATATATTTATTTCAAGTTGCTACAATTATATATTTAACATTGTTGGTGCTCAATCATACTTTGTTTAGTGAAAAAAATCAGGTATATGGATCATTTCTTCTGATGATGTCATTTCATTTAGAATACACATGAAGATAGATGGCATCTCTTACTTACTCTCTTCCTCATTCAACTGTGTTTGTTCAATAGCTCACTAAACAAAGAGACTAAAGTCTCCCTTTTCACTCAACCAAAGATTCAGTGACCCTAGGTATTTCTAATACCAGTTCCAACCGACTGGAAGATGCGTAGCATCCTCAGACGAATCTGCTTGGTTTTGATGGTATAAACGACTGGATTGAGCACTGGAGGTATAAGAAAGTGAAGATAGGAGAGCAATACACGGCTGCATGGGGAAGCCCACTTCCCAAATCGGTGGATCATGGACAGGCCAATCATAGGTGTGTAGAAGAGAAGCACAGAACAGATGTGAGAAACACAGGTGTTGAGAGCTTTGAAGCGCTCAGGCTTGGAGGCAATAGATAACACTGTATGGAGGATCAGCCCATAGGAGAGAACAATGAGACCAAGTCCAAACCTAGAGTAGAGAGAACAACAAAGAGGCCATATGCACTGTTGATGTGGGTGTCAGTACAGGCCAGCTTCATGACATCTGGTTGTAGGCAGTAGGAATGGGAGAGCAGGCAGTTCTGGCAATAGGGAAGCTTCTTCAGCATGATGGGGGCTGGGATGTGGAGACCAACACTGCGTACCATGATGGCTAGGCCTAAACTGGCAATCCGGGGACTTGTGAGTATGGTGCTGTAGCGCAGAGGGTTACTGATGGCCACAAAACGGTCAAAGGCCATGCTCAGGAGCACAGAGGACTCTATGATGGCGAAAGTGTGGATAAAGAAGAGCTGGGTGAGGCACAGGTCCATAGGTACCTTCTTGAGACTCATCATGTAGATAGTGAACATGGTGGGCAGTGTGGAGGCAGACAAGCCCAGGTCTGTCACTGCCAGCATGGACAGAAAGTAGTACATGGGCTGGTGCAGGGAGGACTCTGACTTCACCACCCAGAGGATTAGGCTGTTCCCTGCCAGAGAGGTCATGTACAGGGTACACAGAGGGATGGAGAGCCAAATGTGCACAGTCTCAAGGCCTGGGAGGCCTGTCAGGAAGAAGGAGGTGCTGGTGTGGTTGAAGTGTGACATGATGATCCAGAGACAGAATTCCAGAAGAAAGTGCAATCTAAGGCCCTAGATTCAATTGGGTTATTGGGTCAGAATATGTGTAAACCATGGCCTTGTAGTAATACTCCATAATATTTCTGACAATCATGATCTTATAATTTATTCATGTTTCTTTTTTTTTAAATATGAAGTGCTTCATGAATTTGCATGTCATCCTTGCACAGGGGCCAAGGTAATCTTTTCTATACTGTTCCTATTTTTTTACGTATAATGTGCTACTGAAGTAAGCACTCCAAATATTTCTTACACTTACAAATAGGGGGCCTTTAAGAAAAATGTGGTTTTGTACTTGTTAAAAGAAATCTTCCATACATAACCTGGCTATGGAGATACACAATATTTATCCAAAAATAAAAATTCGTAATTTGGTCCTAGAAAGGGACTGAGACAATGTTGTTCCAACTCTTCATTGTACATATTTGGAAATGAATTCTAGCTTCCAATGTGTCATACAAGATACCAGATTAGTCATTCTCTTTTTCTATTAAGTTATTCCTGACACTGCCTTTCAATAGATACTTCTTTAATTCAGTGAATATGAGAATTTTGTAAAGACATCTTTCATAACTAAATCAGAAGAAAACTAATTCTCTTTACCAGATCAGCACACTTATATGAGCAAACAAATGCAAACTGATTATGCATGCAAGTTAAAGTGTCATGTTATAGTGAAATTTAGACTTTTACCCGAATCCCATTAATTCTTAAATGTTTGTATGCACTTGGACCATTAAATAGAATGATTGTTGGCTCACAGACTATTAAACAAGTACCTTAAAACTTACGTGTTGTTAGTTAACTTTATGGTAATAAGCATACAAGAAACAGAAAACAGCATTTACTCACCAAAGAACAAGGGATTAGATCCATGTATAAATTAATTTCCAGAGATTTGTAACCATCTTTGGTCATCCCTGTTATTCTCCCCTGAACTTTCATCTTTGTTATCTCCTGGTGTCTCAGCTACCTCCCTACATTTAATCCATTATGAGTTTCATAATTTGAAAACACAGTGAAAGAAAATTTGATTTGAAAACTTTTACCTTTTCCTCATAATCATAAACAAAGTATGAAGATTTGTGGTTTTCATGGTGTGAAAACATTAAAGAACAACAAACAATACAATGGGAACATGAAATTTAAGTGATCTTATTTAATCATGTTCTGAGCTTTTTTGGGGTGGGATTTTCATTTGTTTTTCTCAGATTACATTGATTTTTCTCTTAATATTATCACTTTTCCTTTCATTTGTCTTAGGATATACACTGCAGAATCCACCTCCTTTAAAAAGTTAAGTCACATAATGAATTCTGTCACTTTTCTTCTGCTGATAAAAATGTACCAGTGTAATTCATTACTTGTTTATTTCACTTAAATTATTTTATCAAGCAATTTTACATGTGCCACTTTAAAGCATCTCAACTCTTGGCTGTTAACAGATCACCCTTTCCAGATTAAGAAACTTTATCATTAAGAATTCAAGTCTATAACTTTGTCATTTGCATTACAAAAGGAGATTCCACAAGTAGAGATAATTCTGGCTGTCTTCATGGATTGCATTCTGAATACTGTGGCCTTTAGTTGAAGACAAACTCCAGCTGCTAATGAACAGAATCTCAGATATTATCAAACCATATTCTTAAATCCAACAAAATAAAATCCCCGTGAATAGTTTTCTTCTTTTCTTTTACTTCCTGAATGATAGCCACTTCTAGTTTTCCTCTAATCTACCTTACTACCTCTGAACTAAAGGTTTTGCATTTTTTATTCAATAATTAAACTGTCCTAGGTACTGTTTTAGGTGCAGGAATTAGAGGTATGAAAATACAGTAAGGGCCCAATAATAAAAGAAGCATCAGAGTTCATTTTCCTTCAACTGTGTTGAGTAAGTAGAACAATGTGGAAACGCAGAAGGCATTCTATAAGATTGAAAGGTCAGGGAATAGCTCTTTGAAGAGGGGACATAAGGGATAAGAGGACTCAGACCACCCAAGTCACCTCAATCACTTAAGAAAACTGCACTTCATATGTCAGGATAGTTGACTCTGAAAGTGGTGACCCTGGATTAGGGGCTTGGGACCAATGGTACATAGGAACTTGTACCAAATGCAAAATTTCATGTCCCACTCAATCCCTATTGAATCAAGATTTCCTGTGTAGTGCCTAGCCTTTGATGTTTCAGTAATACCTTGAGGGGATTTTGATGCACAGGAAAGTCTGAGAACTTCTGCTATTATCAGGTACAGTGTTGCTTCTCTAAAGAATTGACTGTGATGCTGTTGAAGGCAGCAAACCCTTTATCTATCTATCTATCTATAGTTCCATATGATTTTGTTTTTCCAACATATACGAAAAGGAAATTGGTAATTGTACTAATTCTTTATCATGTAAATCTACTAGGCTTATTTAATGATAAAATGAAATGTTATAATGATTCATTTATTAAAGTACTTAGAAAGTAAATAATTTTAAATATTCATTTAAAAAAATTTTAGGTGTATTTACTATAAAAGTTGCAAAGACCTTTATCAAAGATGATTATTCAAAGATTTAGAAATAAACCAGTTAATCTTCATTACTTTGCGATTATTGATTAGGATCACTTTTCTTTTGCCTCCCATTTTTTGAGAAGAAAAAGGAAAAGAACTGTTTCACAAACCAGGAGCTCCCCATGTCATTCTATTCCTCAAACTTTTCCTAATTTTAACTTATCTCCATGGAGAGGTATTGACTCAATCTTTCTAGAGATTCATTTACACACAAGTCATGACGATTAAGACAAGGAAAATTGCACCCATGAGTGATAGTCTACCTCCTAAATTATACATTTGATTGACTTTTTTGTATGTTATAATAGCACATTTGAGGAATTCTGTAGGAAATTTATCCAACAGCTCTCAGCTGTCACCTGAAGATGAAGAGCCCATTTCCTTCCTTTAAATCTTCAATTTTTTATGGTTTTAATTCAAAAATTTTTAACACTGTCATTAATCTTGCTCTAACCCTTTCTTCTCCAAATCCCATGTTATTAACTCACCCACAGGTAGGCAAGAGCTGAGAATGTTTCTCTTACTTCTCAGGAGATCAATGGTACAGCATTCTCAAGGAAGAGTGATTTTATGGCACATTAACTAGTGCTCAAACATCATTCCCTGTTGAACACAACAGGAAGCATAGGCTTGGTGGCAGCAACTGGTTTTAACTATGTCACTGCTGAACAAGTTTTACAACTACTAAAGAGATTCCATTGTGATCAGGAAACATTTATCTCTGTATGAGTCTGACTTTTACAGTTGCTTCTTTCTCCTTACAATTAAGTTAAAAAAATGATTGCCCTGATTGAAAGTTTAACTTCAAAATTATAAACATTTGAATTGAAATAAGTTTCACAGCTTGTGACTATTTAAGTTACACCAGTTCTTAGACACTTTTTTTCATGTCTGTGAAATATAGTGATGCAACCTTTGTGAGGTACAATGGTTCTGGGGTTAAACTACGATAAAATCTCAACTTTGTCATATATTATCTATAGTTAAACAGGAATCACAATATTGGACATAGCACTGAATGCAAAGGTCAATAACTCATGCTTCCCCCAAAAGATGTTTTGTAAAATTCTGTTTCACAAAGTAAGTATTTTAAAAAACTGCAGAAAACCCAGTCTTAGTCATGTGCATACTAATTTGGCAAACTCCTGACTATCAAGGAAAGGAAACAGAGAGGCCTCAAAAGCTTTCCACTCCGATGATATAGGTCTTAAATAAGTCTTGGATGTTGGACATATCCTAATAAACAAGCGATTCTTCCTTGGGAAAGATATGTACAGTAAGTCAGATATTGAAAATAGGTAGTACACAGTTATAATTCCTTGTGGTAAAGCAAGCAGAAGTCAACTCCATATGTGCCTAGATTTTCTTTCCGACAATCCTTACAAGCTTAGATAGGGATGTTAATGCATACTGAGAGTAGCTCTTCCCTTACTGGAAGAATAGAGGTATATCTCTGATGCTATGAGATATGGCAACTACTAGATGGAATGAAGATGAAGAAAGAGGTCCTAGAAATGTGCTTAGGTGTCTACTTGAGATTTTTCACCAAATACTATGCTGAAAATTCACAGGCAAGATTTATGACACCTCAGCAGAGAACATCACTAGAGGAAAGGGATATGCTCTATGTTGAATGGAGATTCTGGAGCTCATACCTGAGACACATTAGAATTTGAACAAAGTAGAGAGAAGCTAGCTCTTTGAATTCCTTGGACATTTATTTGACACCTCCTGGGTGGTTGAAAGGTTACATTTACCACAGTAGTAGTATTATAAGCTATAAGGCCTAAAAGTAAAATTCAGTTGAAACTCATATAAGTAATTTTGGAAAATGGCATTTGGCACTGTAATTTTTAAGATGAAGGGAATTGTACTTTTGTAATTGAGTTGAAAAATTTATTTCTGGCAGGAGTACAGGTTAATAATTTTGAAACTATGTGGAATGAACTCCTGAGAATATAAGTGTAAAAAGTAAGATTTTTCTGCTAAGAAATTGTAAACATTATTTTTAAAGTTATACAGATTTTTCTGCTAAGAAATTGTAAATATTATTTTTAAAGTTATACAAGAAAAAATAACTTTGCAAATTTGCAATTCTAATATAATTTTTCTCTTCATAACTGAAAAAGAAAAACATGTTGAGATTAAAAAGCTTCTGCACAACAAAAGAAATGGTTTTTAAATTGAAGATGCCACCCACAGAATAGGAGAAATTCTTTGACAGCTGTACATCTGATAAGGAGTTGATAACCACAATAAACAGGGAGCTTACAAAAACCAAATCCCCCAAAATATACCCAATGAAGAAATGGGCAAATGAATTGAACAGAGTTTTTAAAAGGAAGAAGTCCAAATGGCTAAAAAACACATGAAAAAGTGCTCACCATCCCTGGCTATAAAGGAAATGCAAATAAAACCACACTGAGATTCCACCTTACACCTGTTAGAATGGCTACCATTAAGAACACAAATGACAAAAAATATCAGCGAGCATGCAGGGAAAAAGAACTGTCATACACTGGCTATATAAACTAGTACAACCACTATGGAAAATAGTATGGAGGCTCCTTAAAATACTAAAAATAGACCTTCCATACAATCCTGCAATACCACTTCTAGGGATACACCCAAAGGATTGTGAGTCAAATTACAACAAAAGCACCTGCACACACATGTTTATTGCAGCATTATTCACAATAACTAAGCTATGGAGATAGCCAAGATGCCCCACTTATTGATGAATGGATTAAGAAAATGTGGTATTTATTTACAATGGAATTTTACCAGCCACAAAGAAGAATGAAAGTTTGTCATTCGCAGGTAAATGGATGGAACTGGAGAATATCATTTGAAGTGTAGTTATCCAGGCTCAGAAGGCCAAAAGCCCTCTCTCTTATTTGGGGACTATAGGCCTAATACAAATATAGCAATATTTTGAAACACTGGTCAGGGGTAGGGAATCTAAAACCTTAAATAAGGTTTATATATTCACTATACAAGAATAAATATAGAAATCTTATACTGACTGAAACTACCATAAGAAAGGGATTAAGGTAGAATGAAGAAAATTAGAGGAGATAAACTAATTGGGGTTATAATACATATTTACATGGAAATATCACAGGGAATCTCCCATGTAGCTACCTTTATCTCAATCTAAAATTTCATGTCATTTTATCTTTTCTCTTTTTTTTTTTTTTACCTACATAATCGGAGAATAGGAGAGCAGAAAAAGAACAGTCCAGGTGAGGGGGGAGGTATTAGGGAAAGGGAATAGGAGGGTGAAAATGGTGTAATAAAATGTGTACCCATCTAACTAAATGAAAAAATGATACCTGCTGAAACTATTCCAGGAATCAGGGGAGAGGGATGAAGGAGAATGGTTGAGGAAGCAAATTCATATATGATATATTTGATACATTGTAAGAACCTATGTAAATGCTACAGTGTACCCCCATCCATCACAACAATAAGGAAAAAAAAAAAGAAAAACATGTTCAGATGAGCAAAATTACACTAAAAATATTAAATGAAGTTATTCAGACTAAAAAGAAATGATAGCAAGTATGAATTTTTATCAGTGCTTAGGAAAACAAGTTGCTACATCAGGCTAACTTGATGATAAATATAATACTCTCATATAATAAAAAATAATTTGCTCACATGCAAATCATGATGCATCCATAACTTGAAGTAGAGAACTTCTTAAAAATAAAACAATGGACTGGGGTATAACTCAAGTGGCAGAGTGTCTCTCTAGCAAGTGTGAGATCCTGAGTTCAAAACCAATAGCTCCCCACCAAAAAATTAATAAGATAAATAAATAAACAAATAAAAGAAAGCAGTCCTGGCAAGGTGGCTATGATAATAATCCTAGCTACTAGGTGTCAACAATCAGTTGGATTGCCATTCCAGGTCAGCCCATATAAAAAGTTAGGGACAGCCCATTTCAAACAATCAAAATCTGGGAATGGTGGCACATGCTTGTCATCCTAGCTCTGCAGGAAGCATAAAAAAGAGAATCTCTGTCCCAACTGGCCTAGGCATAGAGCAAAAGCCTATTCCAAAAAATAATAATCAAAACAAAAAGGGCTGGGTGTGGCAGCCCAAGCCCAAGTAGCTCAATTGGTAGAGTTTCTGCTTAACAAGCACAAGGTCCTGAGTTCAAACCTCAGTACTGCCAAAAAAAATAAATTTTGAAAAAAGGAAATAACTTATAAGCTACATGGATGGATCTCAATATTGTCCTAAAGAATGAAAGAAGAAAGATAAAAACCAATAAAATAACATATACTTTATTGGTACATGTAGTTAAAATTCTAGAAAGACAAAAATTAAACTGTATTAACAAATTCTGTTTTTCTTTGTTTGGCATTAGTAGGGGTTGAACTCAGGGCCTAGTGCTTGCTAGACATGGACCCTACCACTTGAGCCATTCTGGCAACTATTTATGCTTTTGTTAGTTTTGAGACAGGGTCTTCCTTTATGCCTGAGCCGGCTTGGGCATGATCCTCCTATTTCCATTTCCCTGTATAGTGGGATGACAGTTGTATGCCACCACCCCAAATTATTGGTTGAGATGGGCATCTTGTGAACATTTTTCCTGGTCTCTATTCATGATCCTCCCAATCTCTGCCTCCCTAGTAGCTAGAAATACAAGCTTGAGCATTGCACCCAGCTAAAATCTCTGTTTAAGGTAAGTTGAGTGGAGAAAAGTGTCAAGAAAAGAATATAAAAGAACAATAGAAAACTTATGGGGTTGATGAATGTTTATTATCTTGATTGTGGTAATGAACACAAGACTGTATACATTTTTCAAATTTATCATACTGTACATTATATATGTGTATGATTTATAATATGTCAAAGATAGCTCAATATAATTGTTTGCATTAAAATAAAATGCTTGAGATATGAGACCATGAAGGAAGATTACCTGACTCAACAGTGAATGTATCAGGAGAGTAATCAAAGGTATCCTCCTCGATGTGTTGAAACTGGATCTATATGTGTGTGGGGTGGGAAAACGAAGAAAAGCGTAGGGCAGACTTATAGGATGAACTAATAATCAGATGCCAGAAAATTGCACTGTGTTTATGGTATGCTTCAACTATTTTGTGTTTCTAGCATTCAAAAACTAAGGCAGGATCTGTGGAAAAAAAGATCAAGGAAGTCCGTATTTCACATGCATGAGTGTTTATCTAGTCTTCCACGAAAGCTTTCTCTTTACTGATGTGTCCCTTAAATTTGCACAGATCAAGTAGATTCACTCCACTATGTATTTTCAACATAAAATCAGCTATATTCCCTCAAGAACTTACCATACCATGGAGAATGACAGGCTTACATAGCTTTTCCCTTGATTATTTAATTTTTCGTACTGGAGAAGTAATATTTTATTCTGCTTTCTTTAAACTTTGAGTAGGCAGTGACGTATTGTAGTTGAGTAAATATATTCCTAAAGACAATTCGAAAGGGAAATCAAATTTGGCATTATTTCTTTTCTCCTTTCCATCATAGCATTACAAATATCTGACTCAGAGCATTAGCACTTTACTTATAAGTAAGTGAAAATCTTACTTAACCTTTATATTTTTAATAGAGAAATTCCATCAGAGAAGTTAGTTAAAAATTCAATACAGGAAGGAAGAGGCCATTACTAGTGAGGAAACTGATTTCAGTAACTCTGACTTATTTATAAGAATCTAGCCACTTATCATGAAAATGGCCTTCAGGGTGTCTTTTGTCTTACTTTTTCAGGGAAAATTGAGTTGTACCTGGAGTCTGTCATTCAAAAAGTAAAGCATTTCATAATAGTTGGTGAAAGCACAAGATTTTCGATTTATCTATTATGAATTTATGAGCTATTTAACTCCATTGAGAAAGCTAGGGAATATTGGAATTTCTGCCTACTTTTCAAATTACAGAGTTTAAGAAAATCACTAGGTGTCAGTGACTCACGTCTGCAATCCTATCTACTTGGAAGGTTGAGATCAGGAGGATTGTGGTTTGAGGCAAGCCAGAGCAAATAGTTGATGAGATCCGTCTTCAAAGTAATCAGAGCAAAATGAGGCTCAAGTCATAGACAGCCTGAATTCAAACCCTAGTCCCACCAAAAAAAAAAAAAAAAAAAAAAAGAAAAGAAAGAAAGAAAACACCCTGCTGCATTGTGATACACTATCTGGCAGTAAGTAAGATCTTTATTTCTTTAAAGAAATACAATTTTTAGGAATTTTTGCTTAGTTTATGTTTTCCAGGAGCAATCCAGATTTATAGCTATGTAAGTCAGAAGAAATATGTTTTTTGATTTTATATATATATGTATCAAATTTTCTGAAAGTATAAATAAATGAGGCCCTCTTGAGCTTAATTTTGTAGAGTTCTAGGTGGTTTTTGGAAGAGATCTTACTAAATTCTATTATAACCTGCCCACTTTTAGATATTAATATATTCTCTTAAGAGGACATAGATTTCTCCTACATTACCTAAGTCTTTTAAGGATGAGATTGATTTTTTCTAACATGAGAAATATGGTTTTTCCAACTGAACAGTTTTGGTTCTTATGACTGGGGAAACACCACACTGTACTTCGGTTTCCTTTAATGGATTAGAAGGAAGTTACAATATGTTCCTTGAATGTCTTCAGTAAGCAGGCTTTTCTCTAGGATTGAGGAATGATTCAGCAATGCTTTTGCCTGTGAGTTAGTGCTTTTTGGAATGGAGCATCTTTATAATGCGTACCTGAATTTCTTTTGTTCTGACACTGTAGATAATTGGGTTGAGCATTGGTGGCATAAGAAAGTGCAGATAAGAGAGAATCATGTACACCTGAGCTGGTAGTTTCTTTTTCCCAAAGTGATGGATCATGGACAGGCTAACTAGTGGGGTATAAAATAAGAGTACAGCACAGAGGTGGGAAATGCAGGTATTGAAAGCTTTCAGCCTCTCATCATTGGAAGCAACACTCAATACAGTCTTCAAGATCAGCACATAGGAGAGGAGAATGAGCACAGCATCCATCCCCAGTGTGGAGAGCATGACAAAGAGCCCCAAGCCACTGTTGACAAGAGTGCTGGAACAGGACAGCCTCAGAATATCAGGATGTACACAATAAGAATGAGACAGAGCACTCACAGGCTGAAACTTCAGTCTTCCAAGGAACACAGGCAGGGGCAGATGGAGGACACCACTACGGGTCACGATGGCCAGTCCAATGGATCCAATGCGTTTGGATGTGAGAATTGTGGCATAGCGTAAAGGCTCTCGGATGGCCACACAACGGTCAAAGGCCATGGCCAACAGAACAGCAGATTCAATGACTGAGAAAGTGTGGATGAAGAAGAGCTGCACAAAGCAAGTTGCAGCTCCGATCTTCCTCTGGCCCAGGAGAAAAACAGCTACCATTGAAGGCAGGGTGGAAGCTGAAAGGCCCAAATCAGCTATTGACAACATGGAAAGGAAGAGATACATGGGTGTGTGGAGACTGGGCACAGAGTTAACAATGTACATTATGGTGATGTTGCCGACCACAGAAAGAACATAGATAAAGCAGATAGGAATAGCCATCCAGCAATGAGCAGCCTCCAGTCCAGGAAGATCCATTAATATGAAGAAGAAGCTGCTGGCATTACTGTATTTAGGAATTGCCATAATTCTGGGAAGTGATTGACCTGGAAAAAATTATGAAGAAACCAAATAGCTATTTTTTTCATAGCATTTTCTGATCATTTCACCCATGTAACACCATTGCTCTTGCCTGCAGAGTAGTAGTGCACGTTTTTCTTTTCACAATACTGAATTCCATTCTCTTAGAGGATTCTACTATTAAGTAATGCTAACATTTTGTAGTTGTTTGCCCAAGTGTTGTTAGCACATTTGGACTATTAAAAAAAAACAAACCTTCCTTCTCATCTTGAAGCTATTTCAAGGTTTGAAAACTATGTAGACGAACCCCATGTTGAGAAAATAGTCCATGTCCATGAACAATATTATTTCTTGTACTAGAGCACAGGTAGGTTTCTAAAGAAACCAAGGCAAGGAGAATTGTGTTTATTGGCTCCTTGGGAGTAAAACTGTGCACTATAAGTAATCAATATTTATGCTAAATTCCTGATATTGGCAGATATATCTTTTTTTCTGAAAGGGATCCAGGACATAACAAGTAAAACTGTCAGAAGGAAGTAAAACAGGTTTGGGTTTGATTTATAAATTTATTTGAATTAAATTTCTTCTCAGTCTCTCTGCATGGTACTCACTAAAATGTTTGGATTGCTGGTATGGATTTATGAATGGTAGAAGGAAAAACACTGCACAATATATGCAGTCAGAAACAAAATATATTGGCAATGGCATTACACATTTATGGAGCCCTTGCTATGTACTAAATATCAGTAACAATGGCATAGAACATATACTTCTAACTTTGAAATTCTAATGTCCAATAGTCAACAGAGAACACATGCATATACTAGACTAAAAGGGCATTGACTGATAGATCACTGTCCCAACTATGAATCTATAACCTGTTCTCCACAACTCAACATTTTTGAAAATGGTGTTGAGTATTGTCAAGGACCCCTTTTAAAGAAAAAAATATTGTGTGAAATTTGATTACATAGAATTCAAAGGAAACCTGATCACATATCTCAATTCTACCTTCTATGAAGATTTCCCTTCTAAATATGTTAGAAATTTTTTCTCAATAAAGGAGACTTCTAAATCTTGGCTAGTAGAGCAGTCTATTAAATCCTAATTAATTTCCACAAGTCAATTCTAATGGTGCCCTATAAATTCAGAAAGAACATCTACAATCTCCATCCCACATGGTAACATTGGCCTAAGGAAAACAAAGTAGGAATTCTGTGAAGGGTTTACAAATGTGTCAAAATTGAAGAAAGTCTATAAATTGAACAATAAGCAATTATTGGCAACAATTATAGGACAAATAGTAAAGGAAGAAGAACCACAGTTGGCCATAAAGGCCTATCTTATTTGAGAAAAGAGAAGAAAAAAAAGAGGAGAGCTGAGTTGTATAGTTGTATGAGTATACTTCTGGAGGTAAGGGGGGTAGGCTATTAGGAGTCATCTATCATGCTCTGAAAAAAACTCTATTAACTACAGGTGAAGTCATGGGCAACAAATAGACTGTATTCATCAACCTGCTCTTGTTAAGGTTTATCTGTAGACTGTTGACCACATTGTATTTTCAAAAGCATGGAAAAGCACTTCCTCTCCCCATCAAAAAATGTTTGCCAATAAACTGAAAATTTCAAAAATGTAGAAACTTGCCACTACATTCATAAAAATGAAGTATTTGAAACATAGAAATTCTAGGGGGGTGGATTTTAACAAGTAATGTTGACTTACATAGCAATCATTTCCTGAAACATGACCAGAGTAGCAAAGAAGACAATTTGGGAGAAGATACAGTTCCAGAGATGTGCCCAAGGATATTCATCAAGCTGGTGATCAGTTCACAAATGAGGTCTACTTGGAAGTCTCTATTTTGATCCTACTTTCTAAAGGCTATTAGGAAAAAGAACTGATGAATATCAGACTGAGGTTCATATAAGCTGAGCAGCAGGACCATAGGTCACCTCACATGCGTGAGTTAGTCCAGGCATAGGTCTTGAACTGTATATAGACTTAAATACATTCTAAATACAAGATTCCATCTATCCAATCCAAAAGGGCTTCCCAAAATACAATCCTGAGTGGAAATAAGCAAGGGAACTACAGATTCTGGAAATTAACTGAGACAGAAGGGGGGGGGGGAGGGGGGGGGGCGGGGGGGGGGGGGGGGGGGGGGGGGGGGGGGGGGGGGGGGGGGGGGGGGGGGGGGGGGGGGGGGGGGGGGGGGGGGGGGGGGGGGGGGGGGGGGGGGGGGGGGGGGGGGGGGGGGGGGGGGGGGGGGGGGGGGGGGGGGGGGGGGGGGGGGGGAGGGGGGGGGGGGGGAAAGGGGGGGGGGGGGGGGGGGGGGGGGGGGGGGGGGGGGGGGGGTGGGGGGGGGGGGGGGGGGGGGGGGGGGGGGGGGGTGGGGGGGGGGGGGGGGGGGGGGGGGAGCAGGAAGAGAAAAATAGAGATACAGTGTATTCTATGATGGTAATAATTTCTTTAACATAATTCAATGTCTACTACATCTAGAAACATTGCTAGACTCTAGAGTGAGCTGATAATTTATATAAAACCAAATTTTAATGGAGTATAATTATGAGGATAGTAAGATTGGACTTGTTTTAGTTGTGGAAATAAGATTCTTTTCTTCTGTGTGTGGGGTTTGGTGGATGGAACCTAGGGTTTCAGCATACTAGGCAAACACTCTACCACTGAGCTGCAGCCCTAGCTCTTGGAAATAAGTTTTGAGGAGACACAGGTGTTCCCAAGAGGTATAGCCATGGTGCTGGGCCTTTAAGGACTCACTGAATACAGTTAAGCAGAAGTAGGAAACAGGCATTTATCTAACTATTGCTCCTATAATCGCTGGTATAATTGCTTTTCAATTATACGTGGGAGCAAATGGGAGAATTAGTTTCTCCCGTGTGAGTTTTTGAGAAGACGTTTTCAAGTGAGTAGTGAAAAATGCTGTCTTTTTAACTGAGCTATGCCAGAAAAAACTCAGGAAGTTGTGTTATTTATGAAGGTCATTGATAAAGTACTGAATTGACTTTGTAACATCCCTTAGAAAAAACTGAAATTATGTGTTTCAGAATGCAGCTAATTCAATTGTGACATTTAAGTAATAAAGAAAAATTTTGTATGACTGAATACATCATATACATATATGTATGTGTGTATATATATACACACACATACACACATATATATGTATAAAAATAGCATAATGAAACCAATTAAAACTGTTAAAAGGGGGAAGGGAGAAGTGGGTTAAGAAAGAGAAATAAAGGGGATAAATTTGATCACAGTACATTATATTCATATATGAAAATATCACAATGAAATTCCTTTGCACAATTAACTTATACTAAAAAATTTTTTAAATTAAAGAATTTAATGTCTACATTTTTGACAATGTTAAGTCATTCCTACCTGCTTTCTTGTCTGAAAAAATGAGGCACCTGGATATTTCTTGTAATCTCACAGTCTTAATAAGGATTTATTTTTGTATGTTGGATGTTTAGGCATTTTAATTTTAGCAAGGAACAGCAATATGAACTTGAAATTAATCTATAAAGAGACATACATTGTGAAATGTTCAGATTTGTTCTCATTTAAATGCTAAAATGCCAGTGTTTAACAAGGAACAGAAAGCAAGAAGACTCTTTGGAGAAAGGCCAGAATTTGTAGGATAAACTTGATAATAATCCCATCACAGTTCACACCAAACCATGACATGTGCACTGAGCAAATGGCTTTTTGCTAAATTCTGTCTGATAATTGAGGATAATTATGCAACTTCCATGAATTCTAGTTATTTTTAATTCAACTTTCAAAACTTTAGTTTCTATATTGCTCATATCCTAGATAGCCGTATTTTCTTGGGCTGAGAAGCACTACATGAACTAAACTGCACTGGCTCTTCAAATTGCATAATGAAGATCTATGATAGTTTTTTCAAAATTAATCTTGTGGCATAAGATTAATTTTGTCAATCACTTACACTTTTATTTTTAAGGTAAGATTTCCATCTAAATCTTCATCTTGGAGACTATTGGTGGCTATTTTGTGTAGCCTATATTATAATGTTCTAGGATAATTAGAAACCATGTTTTTGGTTTTTCTCTCTTCTTTCTTTACTTCCTCTCTTTCTTTTCTTTATAGTGTCAGTTATTTATCAATTCTAACACATGCCATGCATAAATGTAGTTTGACTTGCATTTGATCTCAAACTGCAAGAGGAACAATTGGATGATTTGGGAAAGACAGAAGTAGGTTAGAGATTGTTTCCCAAAACTAGAACATTTCATATAAGAGAGCTTGAAGTAGTATATATCTACAACAAATGTCCTCACTGCCTTAGAGATCCTCATAATCATGTCTGGATAACCTGTAACCTTTCCTTGACTTTGATCGTTAGTTAGCTACACATATGACATAGCCTAAGGTATTTCTTGTCACTCACCAGATTCCAGGACAGAGACTGTGGATGGTGGTGCAGCTGTAGCCTCATGAGGCTCCTTACCTTGTGTGTAATGCCAAGTGAGAAGACTCATAAATATCTGGTTCTAGCTTTCCCTGAAGGCTCACATACAACACCCGTGATGTAAGTTATCAGAGCAAATTAAATGTGCATGTGCCAGACAAAGCTGTCTATTGCTAGTTATTGTGGGCATTTGCTCACTTTGAAAAATCATACATGACTTAAGCTTAGAACACAATTGTGCTTCATGCTTCCTTTCTTTTATTCTCTAAGGTCATTTTAGCTCCTTAGAGATAGAAGTCATTCCATATCACCTAGCCATGCTGGCCAAGAAATACCTTGCATCACATTTAGAACCCCACATACATAAATTACTTACAAATTATAAACTCCTCTCCAGTAGTTTTTTTTCCCTTAAATTGTTGGAGATTAGAGTGGAACATATATAGTACTATTTCTATTTTTGATAATATGAATAAATGGTCTCTAACTTAACCTAAATTTATTTATTATTTGTCTTTATTAGAGTCATGTGCAGCTTACTTTTCATTTG